AAAAAAAACCAGAATCAGAGAAGACTTTGGTGATACAAACTCATCAGAGATCCACAGCTACAAATACATGCGTGCTTTAATCTAGATGAATCCAAGAACAAGTACCAAATATTCTATATGGAATTATTCTCAAGTAGAACTTCAGCTTTAGTTTATAAGGACTAAAATTTCTAGAATCAAGTTATTTCTACCAAGGTACACAATTTTTCACTTAATTTGTATAACAAACCTGCTTTAGTCTTCTTTTTTGTTTTTTTTGGTTTGGGTTTTGAATTATCTTCCATGCTGTCTTCTGCGTTTTGTTCCATTGAACTTATTTCACCATCTTGATGAGAATCTGAAGTAACTGGTCTAACTGGAGACTCCTTCTTTTGTTCACCTTCAACTATGTCACCAGAGATGGTCAATGTACTACAAATTTAATCCAAATATCAGCCGTTACAGATATATTATCATAAGAATTATTATTATTCATGATGCAACAGAGTGAACAGTAAATAAAAGCAAAGATAATCCTAAAATCACTATTATTTTCTCTTAGGAGATGTATATATTTTCTTATACACTAAAATGGTTAGCTGTCAATTAAGTATCATAGGTAGTATTTTATACTTCATGAGGAGTTACATGATTCAACTAAAATTGAGCTCTAAAGCCCAGAGGAAAGGGAAATTGTATTAATATTTTATGAGCAATTGATCTCTTTACATAGGACTTATTGAAGCATGCCTACCCGCTACCAAGTAAATGATGAATCAACAAATTTTTAAATTAACTTATTTAAAGGTATAAAAAGTATTCTAGGTTTGTTCTGTCTTCAAGAGGCTTCACATGCACAACTTTTGATTTCTTTTTTATAAGACATGGTCTTACTCTGTCACCCAAGCTGGAGCGCAGTGGTATAATCATAGCTCACTGCAGCCCCAATCTCCTAGGCTGCAGCAATCCTCCTACCTCTGCCTCCCAAATAGCTGGGACTACAGGCACATGCCACCATGCCTGGCTAATTTTTGTACTTTTTGTAGAGATGGAGTGTCACCATGTTGCTCAAGCTGGAATTTCTAGGTAAAAATTAATTCCTTGTATTTTCCAGTGATTGGTGAGTCACTAAATTTTCAGAAGACTATTACTAAAATTAAAGTCTATATCACATGAACTAGTAAATGGTAAAAAGTAGCAACCCAGAAGCATACTGACTTCAAAGAAAAACCAGCCTATTAATATTTTAATTGATCAAGTAAAAAATATGCATTTAAATAATAAAAAATTAACTTCCAATATTTTTAGTCATCTTTCAAAACAAATGGGTTGAGGACAATAAGAGTAGAGACATATTTCAAATTAGTCATTCCAGAAAGCCATTCTATTTGATCACATCACCAAACACTATTCTTTAAGAACAGCTACGCTTTGCATGCCACGGTCATGGGTTATTTAAAATTCATGAGCTAACCCTATTTCATATTGCCTATGGCTTACCAGTCTACTACAGAGGAAGTAGCTATGAGAAAAAGAAAGATTTATAGCATACTGTGGTAGGCGGCCTTTAAGATGGACCTTACCGATCCCCACCTCTTCATATTCATGTCTTTGTGTAATCTTCTTTGAGTGTGGGCTGAGCCTAGTGACCTAATTCTAACAGACAGAATATGATAAAAGTAATGAATGTCACTTATAATATTAGGTTCCAAAAAGACTGTAACTTCTGTCTTGCTCTCACTCTCTCAGAGTCCTTGCTCTGGGAAGCAAATGGTCATGTTGTGAGTAGACCACATGGAGAAGTCCACATGGCAAGGAACCTGGCCCAAAGCCAGTCAGGACCTGAGGCCTACCAACAGCCACATGAATGAGCTTAGACCTGGATCCTCTAAGGTCTTCTAACAGCTATGTCATTGACAGATCCTTCCCAAGTCAAGGCCTGAGGTGATTTCAGTCCTGGCTAATATCCTGACTGTAACCTGTGATTGACAGAGACACCCAGCAAAGTCACTCCCAGATTGCTGGTCCATAGAAACTGTGAGACAATAAAAGCTTGTTGTCCTAAGCTGCTAAATTTTGGGATAATCTTTTTTTTTTTTTTTGAGAAGGAGTCTTGCTCTGTCACCAGGCTGGATGGTAGTGGTGCGATCTCAGCTCACTGCAACCTCTGCCTCCTGGGTTCATGCAATTCTCCTGCCTCAGCCTCCTGAGTATCCGGGACTACAGGTGTGTGCCACCATGCCCCGCTAATTTTTGTATTGTTGGTAGATATGTGGTTTCACCATGTTGGCCAGGATGGTTTCAATATCTTGACCTTGTGATTCGCCCGCCTCATCCTCCCAAAGTGCTGGGATTATAGGAATAATCTTTTTAATGGAGCAACAGATAACTAATATATACTATCATGTCCCTGCAGCAACCTGGTTTGCTATATCTTTGTTACTACTTGTCACCTAGCTTTTGAAAAGAGGGGAATTATTTTTAGCTGAGGGCTTTAGGGGAAATTGATCCAGAATGCCAAGGGACAGTCACATATAGAATTTTTCCACATCAAGTTGTTTCTGTAAAGGAGAACTGCAGGACAGAACAAAGTTAATTATAGCAGTTAAAAGCCATTTTTATTTTACTGTTTTCTCCAAGTAGAGAACATATAAATATGTATATGTTCATTTAAACTCACACCCTATATACAAGTACATACATATATAACCATCATATAGAGAAAAAGATTAGAATACTAAATTGCCAATGGTGATTATCTTTAAATAGTTTTTGTACAATGAGCTACTGTTATTTGTATAAGAAAAAAATCTATTATTTATATACCCAAACAGGCATTTGTAACTCAAAAAAGGGGAAGTAATGAGGTTTCTATTACTTCAAAAGCAGATATAAGTGAGTAGTTCAGAGCAGAGACAAGGTTCTGGCTCAGTCTCTTACTAGTTCTGTACTTCAGTTTCCTCATCAGCAAAATAGGATGAATACTACTTTTCCTCATAAGACTGTCATAAGAAATAAATATGTTAATTCTTGTAAAGCATCTAGTACACAGTAAGGTGTTACGTAAAAGTTAGCAGTTATTATCTTAGTGGCAGTATTTCCAAATAAAAGCCTAAGAATTTTCTTAGTTAAATCACAAATAATATTCAAAACCTGAAAGTAATAGAGTGCTTTTCTAAGAGGATATTTTATATTTGTCAATGTAAAAATACCTTGTTTCAGCTTTAGGAACTTTCTTTTTTTTCTTTTTCCCTTTTTCACTGCTCAATTTGTCTTCATGGAATAAAGAATCTGAGGGAAAGTAAGTCAACTGTTCTTTCAGTTTCTTTCTTATTTTCTTTTTAATCTCCTTTGCTATTTCTTCAGTTACATGGCATTGATATGCTTGCATCAGTTCTTCATCCTCTTCTAAATCATTCTTTTCTCTTTCCTCATTTGCCTTCTCACTTTTCTCATGATCAACACCTGGTTGTGGCTTTGTATGTGCTTTCTGGTATGTAGAATCAACCCTCTTCTCAGGAGTTTCTGGTTTCATGTCTTGTGTAGCCAACTGGGGCACCGTCTTTATCACCTTTTTATTTGGCTTTTCCTGTTTGTCTTCCTCTACACTAACATCACCATTAGGATTTTCAGTTGCTGACTGTGTATTCCTCAACTTGCTTTTAGTGACTCTCATGTTCTTCTTCAGGTTGTTAGTGTTAGTAGCACTTACATCATCACTTGTAGTTTCTTTAATATGGTGAAGATTGCTTTTAATAGTGTCAGGCTAACAAAAGAAGACACAATAACAAAGTTTCAGCTATGCATTTATTAGTTATATAAAGAAAAACCCACTAATTAATGTTAGGCAATGTGGAATTATTGGGAGGATTGTTTTTTTTTTTTTTTTTTTTAACCTGGACATAGTGATACTATTTTAGAGCAGTTGATGAGTACTCTCACAATTTATGCTTCCAGAATTTGATTAGTAATCTCTGAATCTAACTTCAGATTAAATGAGTTAATTGACATGGGAAAAAAAGTACTTAAAGGCCTTTAGGATGTGAATTAATTGCTCAAATCTCAAACGCTATTTTCCTCATACATATTTTCCTTGTGATCTACACTCTAATGTAATTAATAGATATTTAAGAAATTGCTAAAAGAGCCATTGAATGTAACACTGCAGGTTACCCAATAGGAAATATACATGGGTCACTTACGTTGCTTCATAATTACACTCTAAAACCAAAAGTCTGCAGCTCTAAGATAACCCTGCAGTTAATCCAAGTATATTACTAAAAGGCTGCTAAATATTACACATTAAGTTAAATCAAATGATAGACTAAGCACAATCATGTAACTCTTTCCCCAATTAAAATTATTTAAAACGAGATAGATATATTTTTAATAGAAAAAAATCAGTAAGAGTCAGAGCCAAGTAATATAAGGAGGAGGAGGGGATAAGCCAGAGGATGACCACTCGAGGAGCTGGGATGAACAGCTGTTTCCCACCACCATTTGTGTTGACTTTCACCCATGGGATTACACAGATGAGCACAGAGAGAAAGGGCAGTATGCTTCAGGTAGGTACAATTCCCATAAACTACAGAGGCAGACTATGTTAAAAACAACCAACAATCAAGAGAAGAGAGAGTCTCAAATATAAAGATGACTTGAGAACTGAAAATTAACAAACACTAAAGGAAGGTAGCACAATGAAGGAAAGCTATCAAATCAAATGCAATAAGTAAAAGAACACCAAAGGAAAATAAATATCAAAAATAATAATTTAACATAAGCATAATTAAGAGATCCAAAAGCATACTGGACCAAGAAAACCAAACTGCAGATATTAAAATAAAATTCTGAATCATATATAAGTTTAAAAGATGTGTTGAA